ATATACATACATATATATATATATATGTATATATATATATATACATATACGAATACTTGAGGGGAAAAGAGAAAAAGTGATATCGAAAAATGTAACATATTTTTATACGGAAGTTCGTTTCTATGCGTGTATTGCAGAAATATTCTATATATTTATTTTTAATGGCGGAATACAAGGTCTACTCGTTCAGAGTAATTTGGACAGTTGAAACGTATCAGATTTACAAGCAGATTCGTCGAGAAATCGTTACCATTGATTGAACGACTCGACTTTTCTCGAATGCTTCTGAAAAGGATCGACGGTAGTAGTTGTACTGTAGAAGCGGAACATGCCCCGAACAAAATAATTGTTTCTACGTGTATTTTGGTAAAGTCTCGGAACGAAGGCAAGGATCGACCGTAATAAAAAGTGCGACGCGAACAGCGCACCGATTCGCGTAGCGAATAAAAAGGATTCGCCGCTGCAGCCACACTCTGGAACGTCGATCCCAGAAAATGAATAATACGCGGTATAATTACAGTAATAATATACGCGAGGAAAGGAGTTGATATCGTGGTATCCACAAAGTGCAAAGGGGTTGCCTTAAGTAGCGATCAATGCTATAGATACTGTACCGTACAAATAATCAAAACATGTTCCATCGTGCCGCCAATGGCAACATCTTGTATCCGATACAATGTATACGTATGTGCACGTACAATAAGAGTTATTCGCAAACAGAGTAGATATCAGATCAGAGCAGAATAGGTGACGACAGCGGCGGCGGTAGCGGCGGTGGTAGCGGCGGCGACGGCAGCGGCGTCGGTTGACGATCGTAAGTTTTTTGCACCGATAGAAGAATTGCTTTTTCCTTTTTGTGTTTTCTCCCTACTCCACGCCGTCCCAACCTACCCCATCCCATTCCATCCCGTCCCACTCCGTTCCATCGCATCCCACTGCATCCCACCGCATCCCACCGCATCCCACCGCATCCCAAATGATCCCACTCTATATTCCTTATTCGTCTGAGCATACCCTTTTTGACCTTGTACCCTCCACCTTTTACCTTTCACCCGATTGCACTGCAATGATCGATAACGTTCAACGATCGAGCTAAATTATTACTCGTTCTTCGAGAAACATGCTCAACGTGAGACGACTCTGCGTATTCTATTTCGCATGCACACTCGTAATCAGTCTATTGTGTGCGCTCAAGAAGAATCTGGAGCCATTCGTCGTGACCTTCTTCGAGCAGATTCTTCAGATTTGCCATCGAAACGAAGAATTTTGAATGAAAAGATACTCTGTCGAATATTGTAGCGGGCAAGCTAGAAGGGGCGAATGCTCGAGGCGACGAGACGCTTTTGAAGCCAACGCTGTCAAAGTCGGAATCGACGAGCGACGCGAACGGGCGTATAAACTGTTTTGTCAGCTTGTTGCTCGAATGTTTGAGAAGAGAACAGGCTGGAAACGCCGATGAAACGGCGAGGACGAGACGCGCACCGAGTACCGAAAGTCGTTCTTCGAGGCACTTTTCCAATGCGATCGACAGCGAAACATCACGCGCCGAGCAGTGTCTTTCGTTGAAGCATCTTTTACTCGGAGTCTGTTCGCTTGACCATCTCCATCGATGGCAGTGATGCTGGTGGTGATGACAGTGATACGGTGGTGATGGTAGTGACGGTGGTAGTGATCCCTTGATTCGATACAACGAAAGCAACGACATAACCACGAATAATGGTAGAGCCGAGATGGTCGGTTAAATGTACGAATAGCACTCTGAGTTTGTTGAATCCGAGCAGTAGCTACACAGACTTGAGGACGTTGCATAAAAAGCATTGTAAAAAGTATATTTGTCTGTGCAGAAGGCACACCATTAGTGTAATATGTATCAACGAATCGAGAAAACTGTATTGGTTCAACTGTAAAAACGTACGCGAGAAGGTGAACTTTGGCATTGGGGACGGTTACTATTACAAGTTGTTAAGGATCGTTGACGGAGCCCTGAACACGTGGCTTCGATATTACATCGACGGTCTCAGCCTAACTCGCAGAGAGATCATGTACAAGATCAACGGTACCGCCAAGACGAACATGAAGCTCTTAAAGGAGGGTTGCTACTGTCATTATCATCCGCACATGACGGCAGATGCGTGCAACGCCGACTTTCTGAAAAAAGTTGTAAGTTTCTGGGCCGGAGAAGGCTTTAGAGGATTGCGCGACAAGCTACGCGGTATGACGAATTATGCTAAAAAGGTAGACACGAGTTTCCGCGTAGTCGTTTCCTTATTTTCTTGCAATGTACCTATATTGTTTACTCGACCGTTGCTGTCTCTCCGCCTCCCGTTCCCTTTCTCCCGTCGCTACCCCGTTCCACGTTTCACACGAATCGACCCAGCAATCACCAGCAATCACCAGCAATCGTCGGGAATCACCAGCAACCGCCAGCAACCACCAGCAATCCGTACCAATCCCGATCAACTTTGACCATGCAACTACGTATTCGACGTGTCCCTAAGAGCATGAACTATTATTATTATTATTATTATTATTATTATTATTATTATTATTATTATTATTATTACTATTATTATTATTATTATTACTACTATTACTATTACTATTACTATTACTATTACTATTACTATTACTATTACTATTACTATTACTATTATTATGTCGTTGTTATTATTATTATTATTATTATTGTTATATTATATTATATCATTATTATTGCATTAAAATCCATGCGTCGTCCACACGTTATCGAAACAACCATTCTCGTGGTAGATAGATTAGAGATACACTCGTCGGATGGTGTACTATTTTTATAGAATGTCGATATCTATTTACACACACACATTCAAGGTTATTCACGGTAATTATTCATCAAACTGTTGCTAGAGCACACTCTCCTCTTGCACCGTACACGTCAACGTCGTTGCGTATCATCTTGTCGTTCCTGGTGTCCTTCCGTGTTTGTTTGTTTCTTTTTCAACCGTATTACGAGTAATCGAGTGCACGCGTTTCCGACGTCGAATCGGTGTCCAAGTGTCCACATCTAGGATATGTATTGAAACGGATAATATTATACGGTACATTCTGTACACCGTAGATAATACACATGATAATTTGCTGGCGATCGAGGAGTAGTCCCACGTAGTATTTTGTCAATGATTCTCGTACGTGTTTATTCGTCTGTACGGCTTCCCGACGTCGAAAGCTAAACATTAAAAATATCCGAATGTTGTAGATGTCCGACGATGACAGAATGTCTTTAACGACTGCCGTGAGTGACGACGACGACGGTGAAAGTGTGATTAATTCGCCATATCGAGGGAAACAGACTGGCACGGCTGCAGCTTCGTTCAATTGTACCGGAGCAGTTCGGAAGGCTGGGTAAGTATTCTGCCAGTTTACGAGACCGACCGATGCGTCGAAAAGAGTATGTGCGCGTTCGACACGCGTGTGGCCAGTTCTATTCGAAATATCGCTCGGCGAGCTCGAACTGATCGGTATCGATGATTCGCAGATTCCTAAGCGTGAAAAAATGGCTATTGCGGAAGAAACATCAAATCGAGCTCGCGAGGAAAAGAGGATGGAAAGACTATTGGGTTTGTCTGAAGGGGACTACTCTTTTGTTCTATCCGTGCGAGTCGCAGGAGAGTAGGGCCATGGAAGCGGCGCCGAAACATCTGATTATAGTGGATGGCGCGATCATGCAGCCGATCCCGGAACATCCTAAGAGGGACTACATATTCTGCCTCAGTACCGCATTCGGCGATGCGTATTTGTTCCAAGTGAGTGAAATTGTCGATTGCACGTTTACTCGCGAGTAGAGCCAGCGAATTACGAAACTAAGAAATGAAAACTAACAAACGAGAAATAGTATACTGCGATTGCTCTCGAGCAGCGCGTGTATCGTTGAAACACTTGGACTCCGACTTGGATTGTTTGCGTTAGGCACCGTGTCAGGTGGAGCTCGAGAACTGGGTAAACAGCATCCACTCGGCTTGCGCTGCTGCGTTTGCCCGTCATCGCGGCAAGACCGGTACCCTTCATTTGTTGCAGGAAGAAATCTTTCGATTGGAGAAGGCGATAGAATCGGTAAGCGTGGAATCGGTATTTCTTGTCTTGGCAACTATTTGCTCCGCGATCTCGCCGGTTTCACGGCTTAAATCGGTGCGCCGCTACCCGAAATGGGGACGAAGCAAATGTACGCTACGCTTGTTCCAGGATCATAAATTAAAGCATATGGCTGACCTTCAGCAGTCCGTCGTGTCCGATGTCGAGACGAAACAACAGATAAACAATCAAATCGTTCAGTGGGAAGAAAATCTAGAGCGGCTCCATTGCGAACAATTTCGGCTGAGATGTTACATGGCTAGTCTACAAAGCGGCGAATTACCGAATCCAAAAGTAAGCTACACATGTAAATTACCAAGGTTTCATCATTGATTCGACAAGAATGTCGAGCATATTGCGCGGCGCGGTAAATTCTCGCGTGCAAGGTATTTTCGATATACACGGCAATCTATATTTTCCATTGGCATCCTCGACTCGGCGCGTATCGATTACTTTAACCCCGCAAATAGAACCTCGTGCAAGTTGGACAAGCACCATTTTCCGCTAGATTAGTAGGGGGCAGCTTGTGAGAGAGAGAGAGAGAGAGAGAGAGAGAGAGAGAGACTCCTGTCACACGAATATTGGCATAATTCCACACCTCTTACATACTTTCTTCGCAGAGCTTATTGACGCACGTATCGCGCGCTACGAAACAAACGCTAAACAAACTGGGCGTCTTCACGGTGTCGTCGTTTCACGCGTTCATATGCGCGCGAAGTCCCTCGTTACTGAACAACCTGCTGGCAGGACGCGGAGCTACGAAAAGAAGGCCGCCGTTGCTTTCGAGGTCCAATAGCGTATCCAGCAGGAGATCTCTTCAAATTTCCTCGAGAGACGACGAGAAAACTGTGAAAGTGTGCGTGCCGGAAAATCAGGTGAGCCATTCGCGCGCGGTTCCTGCCTGCCGTTGGAGTTGTAAACGAACCTTTCGTGTTTCGGATGGAAAACATTTCGCTTTCACGTCTTTTCCGTTGCAATCTCCAGCTGGTGTCTGTACTGTTACGCGACGCCATGACAGTCGAGGAATTCCTAGCAAGTGCTTGTAATAGAAAGAATCTGAACCCGATGGAGCATTTTGTCCGCGTTAAGAAGCGGCGCGACATGGAAGACCACAATTACTTTGTACCGCATAGAACCGACTCGATAGAAACTTATGTAAGCACCAATGTAATCACTTACCGTTGAGCGATTGCTCGGTCGTTGAACGAACGTATTATTCGGTTAACACGTTCCGTGCCACGGAAATTTCGGTTATACTTTACTTGTGAACTGTATCGATTCTTTAAATAAAATACTCAGCTGTATTCAAGTTCTTGGTAATGTTTATACATTTTGATATCGTTCCTTTATGTTCTCGCTGCTTTGTAACGCACACCACCATCCGTGACCATGTGTCCCTTGAAAATATTGCAGAGATTACCAATCGATATGTGCCATACACACGGTATAGGTGGCACCGAACGTGTTAAGTTTCCGCGGAGGAGCGACACGCGGTATCCGTATTCACGAAACGTGTTTCATGTTTCAGTTGCATACCCACGAAATCGTTGAAGTGTGTGCGAAAATCCTGTATCAAGTCGAATTACAAAGAAACACGCTTGAACAGATGTGGGGTTTTTCGGTGGAAGCGGAGCTTATCGAAAATTCCGATAGGCAGGACGAACTGTGTTGTTACGTTAGTAGAGTCGAAGATAAGAGTGTGGCGATGCAAAATGGTAAGGTGCGAATAATGCAAGCCAATAATTGCATGCAATGTCCCGCTGTAGCTGAGTAGGTAGGCTTTCTTTGCCCTTCTTCGTTTTAACTTGCAACATTATGAAAACAAAGTATACGCATAGACACGAAACTGTGTGTCGCGGATCAGTTCGATGAGAGTTTTCTTCCGAATACCACGACGACAACACTCTACTTTCAGGTATCATTAAAGGTGACGAAATCATGGTGATCAATGGCGCGATTGTAAGCGATCTAGACATGATGTATTTAGAGAGCGTGTTACAAGAAGAAGTTGGTCTGTGTATGATGATGAGGTCTTCTCGAACGGAACCACCGGATCTTACGGGTATAATGCGGGTGACGGACGACATAATCGAGAGCTTGGTTTGTCCACCACCGCCTTCCGATCCACCGGTCATAAGCGAGGAAATGATCTCTGGCTTGATCGTTCCAGCACCCGGATGGAGTAAGGCTACTTTTTCTTTTCTTTCTCTCTGTTTCTCCGTGAGCGTTCGTGAGTTTTTCAAGTCTGTCGAGTCTGCTCGATCGAACATTTCCAGCCTCGCTGTGCATCTCACCGAGACAGTCTTTTGCTAAAAGTTATTCTTCTTCTTCGATACTTTTCTTTATATTCGTCTAGTACACGCACTGACCGATAAACTGTTGATTTTCTCTGAAAACTCGCTGTTTCTGAAAACTCGCTCTTGAATAAATGTGTCGGAGCCTCGGGTAAACGTGATAAACAGAGAGATACATGGTTCTACGAACGCAGGTAAAGAAAGCATCGCGCAAGAGTGCACGTCGACCGTTCACACCGAAAATGGCAAGCAAACGTCGTCTCGCACAAATTCCTTTGAAATTGAAAATCTGCTGAAAACAGCCGAACAAGTGACGGGGATCTGCCGCTCGCCTGGCGAAACTAGAAAGTCTAGCCCTACCGGGAGCGTCGTTAGTTCTCATTCGCAAGCTTTGACGCCGAGCCGCCAGCTAAGCGACGCTGAGAAACTGAAAAAGGTCATCTTGGAATTGATCGAGACCGAGCGTACTTATGTGAAGGTGAGCATTAGACGATGTACATCAGGTATGGACCAGTTACGTATTCGTTGCTCGGGAAATAGGGAAGAAATAGCTATTGTAATTCGCTATATTAATACGACGCGGTATTTGTAGAATTTAAACAATTTGCTGGAGAACTACTTGGAACCCCTTAAGCGTGAAACTTTTCTATCGAATGCAGAGATAAATGCGTTGTTTGGAAACATTCAGGAAATTGTTACATTTCAACGGCAGTTTCTGCAAAATCTTGATCACGCGATCGAAATGGAGGCTGATTTCAATAATTTTGACCATCCGAGTCAATTTAAGGTACGTGTGTCGCAATGGAAAGATAGTAGATGCGTGTATTTCGACTACTTACGTACGGCCGATCGTTCCCTATCGTTGTAATGTGTAACGGCGGGTGTATGCTTTTTAAAGGGTGTTCTGTTTTCCATTGGAAGTGCCTTCTTATATTACGTGAATCACTTCAAGCTGTACAGCTCGTTTTGCGCGAGCCATTCGAAGGCGCAAAAAGTTCTCCATCCAAGTAAGCGGAATTGCCACCTACTCCCGATCCCCATGTTCAGTCTCGAAATCGGAACTTTTCCTCTTCGTAAGAATCTATTTTGCCTGTTGCAGACGAGGGAAACCAAGCTTTACAAGAGTTCTTGCAGGCAAGAAATCCGAGACAACAACACTCGTCGACCTTGGAATCTTATCTTATTAAGCCTATACAAAGAATACTGAAATATCCGTTGTTGTTGCAGCAACTTCGAAATCTCACCGACGAACGAAGCGAAGAACATCAACATTTAATAGGTAAACTAGTTGCGTAGTGCAGTAGAAGTCGCAGCTTTTTCTATTCGATAGAAGTGAAACATTGATTCTGAAAGTATCTTTCGACACATTCGATCACGGATAATTCTGATTTTACCAACCGAAACGTATAAATATATAATACGAACACGCGTATACGCACGTACGCATGCATGCACATACATACACGCAGACGCACATAAATATATATTATTACAGAGGCGTTAAAAGGCATGGAGAAAGTGGCAGAACATATAAACGAGATGCAAAGAATTCACGAAGAATACGGGGCTATCTTTGATCATTTATTCAGACAACATCAAAAATCGTGCAAGCAGGTAAGGGAGACAAACGTGAACTTGTTGTCCGTTTTACTGGTATTTACTGGTATTTACTGGTATTTACTCGTATTTAATCGTATTTAATCCAACTGTCCGATACAATGAATGAAAAGATTATTTTTTAACAGCCGATCGATTTGAGTCCAGGAGATCTTTTGTATTACGGAGGTGTCGAATGGCTGAACATTTCTGATTTTCTTGGAAAGATCAAGAAAGGTCTAGAGTTGCATGCAATGTGCTTCGTTTTCAAGTCCGCTGTCGTCTTCTTGTGCAAAGAAAGATTAAGGCAAAAGAAGAAGCTTATGGTAAGTTTCTCGTACCTTGTAATTGCTTGATGAACGAATACGTTACACGTAGACGATTCGTGTACGTTCAGGGTGTTTCGACGAAAGCGAATTCCAGTGAAGTTGAAATTATTCGTTATCAAGTATTGATACCCGTGACAGAAGTGCAAGTGCGAGCTAGTTCCGCCAAGGATATGGAATCCCATTTCTTGTGGGAGTTGATCCATTTGAGAAGTCAATTACAGAGGAGGTCGGAAAAAGTATATGTACTCTCCAACAGGTATTTAACAGACAGTTGTTCACGTTTTTCGACAGTTGTGTTTCGTTGTTCTCCCGATTCCTAAGGTTTTCGAGAAACGAGCTTTTTTCAGTTTGATCGCGTTCCTCGTTTCTACGTATAATCCCCGTCTTCGCTTCCCGTTCCCCCTCCACCATAATTCTCTAGCCGGAAGTGCAGATGTGAAATTCTCCGGTGACACGTGAACGCGGCGGGGTGTACATATCGTACTATATATGCATGCACGTACATACGGTAAACGAGGGTGTGTGTGTGTGTGTGTGTGTGTGTGTGTGTGTGTGTGTGTGTCTCGGAGGTACGAAGCCTCCCAGCGTAACACGTCTGATTGTTTGTTGGTATCAGCACGACCGAATTTCGAAACGCCTTCCTGAGAACGATTCGACAAATTATTCGAGAATCGGTTCGAAACATGAGTATACCGTCGACGAAACAGAATCTGAGCCAATCACCGATGACGATCACGCCGCGAATGTCGACCGGACACGTGGACAAGTTTGAGAAACAGTCGGCGATCCAAGGGCAAAACGGAAACAGCAACAACAACAACGTCAGCAGTTGCAGCAGCAGCAGCAACAACAACAACAACAACAACAACAACAACAATAACAACAATAATAACGGAACAGCACACCAGACGGTTGTCGCGCCCCTCGCGAAGAAACCGGTGAAGCCGCAGCCTTTGTCGACTACGCATAACGTGAAACGAAAGTATAGCCAGTCGAAACAAATTATGGAACACGAAAGTTCCGAGGACAGAGAAATGGAGGAGTCCGGTTCGGTTAATCAGCAGCAAACCATCTTCCGATTTCGAAGCAAAACCATAAGCGACACGTCCGGTAAGAACGCCGATTCAACTGATTTCATTCGATTCAAAGCCATTCGTACGCACTCGAATAGTTTCGAAACGCTCGAGCAGTTGAATGTTAAGTAGCTGATAGACACACCATCCCTGTTATCCTCTGTTTCATTTACGATACAGGAGAGGTAAAGGTCGAGATGGATTCAGGGACAAAGTCTGAGGGGGAGGAAGACTCGCAAGCTTTTTTAGGTGAGAAGAAGGCAAATTTGGGCCGCACTCCGAATCATTTGACTTTGAGCACCACTTCAACCATTTCAGCAGGAAGTACGGGCAGTCAAGCAAGATTAATCCAGTCCTCTCATCAACCGGAAAATTATCAACCTATTACCGTGAAAGAACTAGGTAAGAGAAGAATTAAAATTATGAAAATTCTACTATAAAACTTGAAACTTGAAGCAGAGACCATTTTTGTTTTGCATACTCATTGTTTCGCTTGTGAACTTATCTTGCTTCTGCAAAATCCTCTACATTCGTCTACGTGTATAGGTATACACAAGGAAATAGATGAGTTTGAAAGATAAAGATAAAGATAAGGATAAGGATAAGGATAAGGATAAGGATAAGGATAAGGATAAAAGATAAAAATGAAAATAACACAGTTTTATTCATTTTCATTTGTGTACCATGAAAATGTGTACAGATAGAGAAAACATTTGCTTCGTCGTACGCAACAGTTGTTATTATGAAAATCTATTGTGAAGGTTCACCGATCTGGAAACCACGGGAGTTACCATCGTTAGGAGAGGCTACCACTTTACCGCGTAAGGGTAAGTCGGCCAGCGAGTTTGGGGATATGAGTTCATCTCACAGCGCTTCCCGAAAGTCTCTCATAGAAATCAATAATTGTGCTCAACAATCTAACTATAATAACCATGTTTAATTTAAGTAGTTGTTAACTGGCTAACAAAATCAATAGGATTAAGTTTAAACATCGTGAAATAAACTGATCAACTTATTCGATTATCGTGAAAAAATTAACACACGTGTGCCGTTCACGTGGAAAAACATTCGGAAATTTCTCTTGGCTTTCTCGTCTGAATCCCCTGTTGCGTCTACGCGTACGCATATGTATCGCGTCGCGTACAGTACCGACATATTCTATTGTACATCGTATCACATTTCTTTTCTCAACATATGTGTTTGTAAACATGCATACATGCGTGCGGAAATATTATAGATGCACGATCTACGGATCGTTTATCGGTTTCAACGAAATGCTCGGGACATGGTGTGCTCGGAAAGGATTAATGTACGCGTACTGACTAGGTTCAATCGCACCTTTTCCGCTTTGTTCACGAATCAAGTGTTTGCTCTGTTCATTCCTTGGAGCGAAGTGTACGAGTGCGATCGACCGTGTTATTCGAACATTCTTTGTTACAAGCTTCCGCCGCGCTGTCAACTACTCACTTGTCGCACTCTGATTGCTTATTACCTACTTGTTACTTACTAGCAATGACCACGTCAAATTATTTCACTTGCGACGAAAGAAAACAACTAACGACTTGTCCTAATAACAATTCGCGAAACAATATGACGTTGTATAAGTCGCGTTAAATTTCCATTTCGAGATTCTATTTTTCATGTTCACTAGTTGTTGTTGCTGTTATCGTTGTCGTTGTTGTTGTTGCTATTGTTGTACCTACCAATATCCACCACACGTATGTGCATACAACCGAACTTGATCTGAAAACACGCGGCGAAACTAACGAAATATGCACTCCTTTGTCCGAATAATTCGCAGTCGCCTCTATACACATTACGCGCATGCGATGCGTTCCATTTTACGGATTTTATTCTTTTCTACTGAACGTTCCGCGTGGACGGCATAGCACAGCTATGGAGTGTTTAACTCTGTACCTAATGAAACAATGATATTATTAGAACTGTCATCTCTTCACCATGATCGTCTTCGTAATA